GGTTCAATATCGATACGAATATCGTTGCACCCCTACTATCCACTTATTAAGGATAGACTAAATCATTCAGTGGTCTTTCTAAACTAGATCAAGTGTCATTTGGTGCTCTCCTGCTGGTGGCTGTATTTGTACATGAGTAAAAGGGAAGGTTTAAAAGACAGTAGTGAGACCTTCTATGATCCCTGGTTTGGAGACGGTGGGACAGGCAAAAGGACAGAAGGCAGATCTGGAGGTAGCAGAGCTGAAGATGCTAAGATTTTGCTTGGGAGTGACAAGGAGGGACAGGACTAGACATTTGTATATCAGAGGGACAGGTTAGGTTGAGCCGGTGGTTGACAAAGTCAGAGAGGAAAAACTGAGTTGGTTTGAACATGTGTAGTAGAGGGATGGTGGGTATACTGTACAAAAGATGTTGAATTTGCAGCTGTCAGATGGGAGGAAAAGATCCAGGAACCAGGAAAACCACAGAGAAAATTAATGGAATTAGTGAAGGAGGACATGCAGAGGGTTGAAGTGACAGAGGTGGATGCTGGGGATAGTGTGAGAAGATGGAGGCAGATGATCCGTAAAGGGAGCAGCTAAAAGAAAAGGACATGTCAACATTATGTATATCATGATTTAAATGTTTCTACATTTGTTAGTCACGCCAGAAATACCAGTTGTTAAGCTAAATAATGCATAACAATAATGATTTCATTTTGTAAAACAACAGTTACCTGTTTGTTCAAAGCCGTAGCCCATCTTTGGTGGGTGATGGGAACTTGTAAACAAGTGAGGTTGGAAACTATGTCGATGACAAAAGTGCAAACCAGTGCATGTCTGAAACTTTGATGTAGAAAGTCAGTCACCGTATTTCGGCTGTGTCAAAGGAAACTGACATAACCATGCAACTGAAGCCGTGTGTAACCACACGATGCACGATTATGTGGACAAGAGAAGAGAGCTACTAATTCTACTGCTGCAAACGTTGGGCGGGGGGAGTAAGCATGAAACTGTGATTAGTTCTTTCGCATTTCTTTCCAGGCCCTGGCTTAAGGGCTCTGGTTCATTGATGTGATAGTTCAGTGATAGTTGGATGACTGTGGTTTTAATACTTGGCAGCCAGTTCTTGACATTGCTCTCACCTTTATCATCTGAGCTCTTATCTCCTCACCCCTGAGGACAGAATAAACTGTGAGCTTGTCAAAAGCTCCATTGTTCCCCGCAGAATATTATGCAGTGCCAGTCTTCTCCATTGCCAAGTCACAGTGTATGACCTCAAAGATCTAATGTTTATTTGAATCAATTCATATTTACGACACAAATGATGCGTTTAATCTACAACTATTTATTTATAATGAAATGACTGCAGGGGTACTTCCTCAATGTCTTCTTTTTTCATGGTAGTGTATCCAATCTCAGCTTCTGCATCCGACATCCCTTTTGATCACTCAAAAGCAACTATATATAGTAACTTTTCATACCTCTTTAACAACTGCCTCTTCACAAACAGACCATTTTCCCAGTGTCTGGACACTGAGGTTTTGCTCTCCCATAGGAAGAAGATGTGTCAGTGACATCACGTCTGTTAAGTAAAGGCAATAACACGTGTGAATAAGCTTTTTGTATAAATAGAAATTTGTTATGGGTGAAAATTTTCCTACAACAAATGAACTAATCCATCCCTATACCATCATGGATGATTGCCTTTGCAGAGTGCTGATTTCAAACATCAGATGGTTTCTTATACTCTTTAACCTGGGTACACGATGAGTAGGACTTTGAAAAAGAAATTCAAATTTTATTTTTCAAATCTCTCTCAATCAAAGCAAACAACAAAGAGTCATTTAAACCACTGCTTAACTGCTCACGCTACCTAAAAACTTTCCATTTCTAAATGAGGAGACGACTGAGGTGGTTGCTTTTGGTCGCCCCGAACAGCTCAGTAACTCGCTCGCACTTTTGGCACTTTAGGGTTTTAACCTTTAACCTTTTACCAGGAATTTGGATCTTATTTTTGACAGTGGTTTCAAATTTGACGGACAGATTAGCTCTGTGGTCAAAGCAGGGTTTTATCAACTTGGACAGTTGGCCAAAGTCGAGCCCTATCTACCTTGAGAGAGTTATCCATGCTTTTAATTGTATTTGCCCCAACTATTGTACCTCCCTTTTTGCAGGCCTGGGTCACTCTGCTATCTGAAGTTTACAGTTAGTTCAAAATGCAGCTGGTCGACATCTTACAGGGGCAAAAATGTGAGAGCACATTGCCCCAGTTTTATCCTGTCCTCATTGGCTCCCTGTCCCTTTTTTTTTTTTTTTTTTTTTTTTTTTTTTTTTGAATTGATTTTAAGATGCTATTCCTTATTTTTAAGTTTTTGTATGGCCTTGCACCACCCCCCCATTTATCTGAGCTTTTAAGTATCCACGCTCCACTTAGGGCACTAAGGTCTTCCAATCAGATGATCCTGGATGTTCCCAAGACAAGACCATTTTGGTTCTAGGCCCTGTCTTGTGGAACCACCAACCCCAAAACATCAGATCTGTTTGTAGTGGAGAGACCTTCAAGTCTTTACTCAAAACTCACCTGGTCTTCCTGGCTTTTAGCTCGAGTTGAGTACAGACATCTCAGTGCATTCCTATTTTTATTTTAGCGTATTTTATCTATTAATCCTTGTGTTTTGTTCTCACTGGATGAACCTGTAAAGCATTTTAGTCAAGAACCATGACCATGGGATAGTTTTCCACTTCTGCTCAATGCATCTTAAATTAAGCTCAGCCTCTAACAGGCAGCACTGCGTTCGACCCTCATTTAGATATGGTTTTTGGTGATTGATCAATTGGTGACTGATCACAGCATTCAAAGGGTTCCTGATTTCCACCCGAGAAATGTGCGCTTTCCATGCTGCGCTGCCTGAGGGCCTGAATCTGTTACAGTGTTAACACAAAGAGACAACCACTCACGCTCACTTTCACACCTACTTTCAAATTTAGAAACGCCAACTAACTTAAGCTCATACATGTCTTGGATATATAATGTAATTTCCTGTAAAAGTTGAATTCCTCATATTCTTTGCACTCTTACTTTGAGAAACATTTTAAATGGTTCAACACATTGGTGAACCCCACCATATTTTTCTTAATCTATCGAGATGATGCGCTGATTATTTTCAGTCAATTCTTGGAGAACTCATTATTATACATTTAAAAGTGGTCTTTATTGTGTAAATCACTTCTGAATAGAGCTGGGGCGCTATGGATAAAAACCAGTGCAGGCGTAGTTAAATTCACTCTTAGAGGCCTGTTTTAAACCAGGAGAAGCCCTGTCTACATCACATTGTAGTTTGTCTGAAAACATCATGTAAATTTAAAAACCGATGTGCTGATACTTTGCTGCTCGTGGCCATGAGTAGTCATAGTAGTAGCAGCTATTCAAGCTGTACCTCAGAGCCTCTGGGGTATTGGTAACCCTCAGCACACTAATTCTCCATCACTGGCCATGCAGGGGGAATGTAATCTTGTTACATTAGCTCAATCAATTATTTACTGGGGCATGCTGCTAGCCAGGCTGTAATTTCAGTACACTCTTTCTCTCCTGCCAATCAGAGGCTTTGAATTGGTGTGAAGTACTCATCATGCTTATAACAGTTTACTGCTCCAGAGGCTGTGCACAACAATACTGTAAATGCCCACACGTGTACTCAGGTAGCTTCTGATGAGTTACAATAGGGGGATATGCAATTTTTATTTTATTTTATTTAAAACATAGCTAAAATACTTTTTCTGTTTTTACCTAGGAATTTATTTTCCTTTTGGAAGTGCCAGCACTAAATTCAATTTATGTTTCTTCATATGAGTCCAAGAAGAACTCTAGATTAAATTTTAGTGTTTGCAGTAGCTTTGTTAAAGGGAAAAAACATCTACATGGATGTAATGCCTGATGTAAATAAGCCACTTAGCATATAATGTTATAAAAGTTACAGAAATTGCTTCATGACTCACATTTCTTCTGTATTTTCTTTGTAGAAAGAACACTGGAAACCAAGTAACTTCCTGCTCTGTTATCCTATTTCCTTCCTACAGGTGGCTTTGGCAGTGCTCCGGTGTTTGGGAGTCCTCCTTCTTTTGGGGGTTCCCCAGCATTTGGTGCTGGAGCATCTTTTGGCTCAAGCCCTTCATTCAGCAGCCCCATTGGATCATCGGCTGGCAAAGTGTTCGGAGAGGGCACAGCGGCTGCCAACATGGGAGGATTTGGGTAAGCAAGACGAAGTCTTTTTTTGAAAGGTTTGATATGGAAAAAAAAATCCATCGTTATGTAATTAAAGCTGACTTCAGAGCAACCTAAAGGTTCAGCCACTTTGATTCAGGGTGGCTGAACCTTTAGCTGAACTTTGTTTACAGAACTTCTATCTGCATCTAGTTTGTCTGTAATCTATTTTCTGTGCCTGCTCTGATATTCAAGGTTTAAAGCAGCAAATATTTTCAGTAGAACAACCTTTCATTGACAAAGTAGTGTAACAAAGAACTGTTTTTTTTTTCTCAACCCACTGTTGCAGACAATGAGTATTTGAAAATGTCATTGTCATCAGGCTATTATTGTCATAATAGGCGCCTTTCAGTGTGCTCAGCACTACAAGACAAACCAGCTGAAAGCAGCATTTAACAACACTATTAAAAACCCCATTAACATTTAAGTGTAGAGAAACAAAACATTTTTATTGGTCTATAGAGTTATATGAGGCAAATTTGGGAAGTGAGGCTTAATTTTATTACTTTTAAACACACACATTTCTATCTAATCTAATTCCAGCAGTTCTGACTTCAGGCAGGATTTCCTGATTATTATGTGTTTTAATCCTCCCCTCCTCCTTATCATTTATACTCTAATGATTTGCATTAACCTCTGGTGTGTTCACATGTGCATGTGTTTTGATACCAGCAACCATGGTTGCCAGCACAAAACAAACCCAGCTCTGTGCCAGACTAGATTATTCCCTCCAGATAATCTCAATCTGGGGTCATGAAGCCTGCAGATTAAACTGACATGCTCTCTCTCTCTCTCTTTCACTGTTTTGCTTATTCTTTTTTCTCTCCCCTGGGAGTGAGCGGGCATTGGGTCCTGTAGAAAGGATTAATGTATAAATCCCAGCCTGCCAATCCTCACATGCCAAACGAGTAAAAAAAATAATAATAAAGCTAAACAAATTCACATTCACTATCTTGAATGTTCTGCTTTGTTTACATGTTTAACTAACCAATAAAAACATCTTGGACAAACTATTTGCCCACATGTATGTGTGTTTAATTATGAATTTATGACTGTCAGACCAGTAACCTAATATTGTCAAGCATTTTGTCTTACCAGCCCCATTCAGGTGTGGCTGTCTTTTTTTCAGTTGTAACTTTTGCGTTTTACAGTATCACAACCTCAGCACCTGCTCCGGTTTTCAGGTTTGCCCCACCTCCTAGCACTCCGTCCTTTGGTGCGCTAGCCGGTCAGAGCGCTCCATCATTCGGGAGCCTGGCCCAGCAGGGACCTGGGTTTGGAAGTCAGCCCAGCAGCTTTTCAGGTTTTGGACAACAGCCACAGCCAGGAGGTGAGACTACTACTTTACCTGAATTATTTTTGTTTTTATTTTTTCCCCCTTCCTCATCATCTTCAGCTGCCATCTTGCCTGCTATCACTCTAGTTTATTCCCTACAGTGAGTCACTCAACAGCGCCATTCTTCCAGCAACTGTACAATTTTAGCCATTGTACAGTGTTTATCACAAGTTTCTTTACTTTAACTGTCTATCAAACTTGAAAAAGGAAGGTGGCTTTATTGTTGTGCAATAGAAATTTCCTGAGTATTGCGACCAAACAAGTGTTTTGTTGTGTTAATTACACTTTTAGGGTAGATTGTGCATCACATGAAGATTTTAAAGTGGTCAATTTCCTCATTTGGCAACACAATGCAAGTTTGTGCGAAACATATCCAAGGAGTACTTCCCTCTCAAACATGATAAAGACAAAGGATGACAAAGGATGGATGAATACATTTTATGTTTCATGGGCTAATGAGACAGAAAGGGGTTCACTGTAACACACTGTATGGTGAATTTGCCTGTCCTGCACATCTATAAACTTTCACTGCATTACAGCTGTTACAGGTTTCTTTGCAGAGATGACTGGTGTGCATCCCTCTGAGTTTTCATGCATGCAAGATCCAAATTATTTTTCCATGCACTCATTTCTTTGATATTTCTCTCCTTTGTTTCAGTCCTCTGCTTTATTTTTTTTCTGAAGTTTTAATGGTGTTGTGGATGCACACTATACACAATATGCATACTGTACATAGGACTGTCCACTAACCCACTTCCAACACATAGGCACACAGATCATGTGACTCATGCTGTGAAGTGAGACTTCCATTAGTCTTTGTTTCCCACTTGCAGTAACAATTACCAAATTAATCATGTATTTATTTTTTATATTTTTAGGATTCTCTGGAAACACCTTTGGGTCTGCAAACCAGTAAGTGTGGTCCATCCATCTAGTTTTAATTAGTCTTTTTGTGTGGGTTTTTTTTCTTGTGTGTGTTAATGTGAACTGATAAGTAGACAGACCCACATTTCTCTGTTCCTCGCTGGCAGCACTGCATTGTGCCTGTGGTATTTGAACTCTGCTGAAGCTTCCATCTTGCACCGCAGTGCTCCCTATAGAACCTTTCAGGTTTAATACCACCTCATCTAACCTCATTTCTTTCCTCTTTTCCATCTTCTTTCTTTCCTCTGTTCCTCATAATCGCTCATATTCACCATTATTTCACTGCATTGTCTTACAGTAAATTTTGAAAGCAATTATTATAGGAAAATATTGTTTTTAGTCATATTTAGAAGATATTCTAAAAACTACCCAATGCTGCACTTGGTAAATCTATAGCACATGAAGGGTGTGTGGGTGTGGCTTTTCATTCTCAGCCCCTGTGAAGCTGGTGCTCCTTACTTGGCTGTGCATGGTTTAAATGTTCAAGCAGAGCTTTCTTACTAATTAAACCTAAAACTAATTAAAGTGATTATTTTTTCCTTCACCTCCTCTTCTCTATCTCCTCTTCTTTCCTGTCATCCTTCAGTTTCACTTTCCACCTTTTTATACTGCTTCTCGCTTCATTTTCCATGTGTCACATGGCAGCCAGTGTTTCCCCGGAGTGTGTTCCAGTGGAATGCACTCTGAAGTGTGCAGGAGTGTGTGAAGACAAGGCTTAGTCTATTGGACACATTCACATTCTGTTAATAATCCTTCTCTTTCAGTCTTTTCTGCTTTTCTCTTGTGTCTGCCTTCAAAACTGTATGCATATTACATTCTTTGTACAGACAGGATTGTTGCCAAGTCAAAATTGCCTTTACTTTTATTTCTCAAATCTACAAGCGTTATAATTTTTGATTTAATAATATTAACAAAAAAACCCTCTACTACAATGACACTGGGGAAAAAGCCTGAATTAAAATGAAATCCATTCATGATTATCAAGAAATTATTTGTAGGAACCTTGGATTTGTGTTTAAACCTTAAAAAGAACGAACAGAAACATTCCACTGTTTTTATTACCCTGTGCTGTGAAAAACTAAACATCTCCATTGACAACTCTAAAACCAGTTTTGAAAAGTGTAATCATTGCTAACAATAAATCATAATCGTACAATAAAATATGGCATATCAGCGCTCTTAACAGCAGCTCTCTCCAATGTAAAAACCATTCATCATGTGCACTTGTCATTGCTGCCAAGACAAAAGGCAAATGCAGGAGTACAAAATCAGACACTTTCACTGAATTCAACGCGTTTTTTCATTTGATTTATTTCACAACCTGCCTGGAAAAATGCTGCGGAAAGCAATTAGGACGACATGATGTCAAATCTATAAGAACACTGGGTGGGTGCGTAGGTGGACAAGATGTCATGGTGTCTGTGTTTTGATTTGCTCGTTAGAGGTCATTTTAATAGTCCTGCTGCTGACTTTTTAAACATTCAAAACTCTTTCTCAGTAATGTCTCTCCCTCTCTCTCTCTGATCTCTTTTTACAGATCAAATTCTCAAACATTTTCCAGTTGGAGAAGCTAGTTTTTGTCTTTTAAACCACCTTGAGCTACTGTAGATGCCACTGCGACATTTCTTCTTCTTCACTTAAAGCTCTCTGGGCCATACATTGGGAGAAGCGCAAGGCTGCATTGTGTTTGGGTTGGCTGCTCATAGAGCAGACACATGTTATAACTTTTTGTGATCTTAATATTTTCTTGGACACAGTTGAATCAAGTTTTGACATGTTTACAAGTAAAGAGTGTATGGTTGTCTTCATTGTCACAATATACACACATCAAGGGTTGTTGCCTTACAAGTACAATTTTTGCACTTTGAAAACATGACTTAAAAAAAACCCCTGAGCTTTACTTTCACTCTTTAACTTTGTAAAGCTGTTAAAACAACATCCAGTCTACTTTTACGTTGCTGCCAATGCAGACTTTGACAGATTAGGTATGTGTGAAAAATGCAAAACTTGGAGGTGTGTATTTAATAGCAAAAACTGATTTTAAATTTTGACTTGTTGAAATAAGACGTTAAAAAAAATTGTTTTTTGTTTTGTTTTCCCCCCCACTAAATCCATCCCTCGGATGTGTATTTTTACATGGAAAACTAAGAATAAACCAAATATTTCAAGTTTTTTTGTCTACGCTTAATGTGAGCACTGGTAATAATTTGTCTTGCTCTGTTTTCCCATGAAAATAACTGTAGCTGCCTGGATAGAAATCTTTGATGTAAGGTGGTTTCAGTGCCATTGCTAAAGGTGTGTAAAATCGAGCACCGGTCCATGCAGCCTGCCTTTTACAAGGATTTGTGAAAGAATGTGTGGCTCTTAGGAGCGTGGTGCTGTAATAGGATTCCTTTATTTTAGGCCCTCCTTGATATTCCGCGATATTCGACTTCAAGTACTATTGTTACAAAGTAGAATCGTTAAGGAGCTACAGAACCCAACCATGAAGTGGCAGACTACATAAACTTACTGATTGGAGTCACAGAATATCTAAAAGTTGCAGCGCTTTGCTGACTCAATCTTCTGACATTAACATCGGCACAAAGACTCCACCAGTAGCTTAATGGCATGCGTTTCCATGGATGAGCATCTTCTGTAGGAGTAATGTACAGGTGGCCCATTACTTGTCTACAAATTGTAATATGATTATAACTGAGAGGAACTTTCCACTCTCGTGCCATAAGTATAAAAACAGGCATCATCTGAACATCAGTCTCTCTGCTCAGTGACATTCATTGAAATACACTGACCACAATATAATTGTGAGGAGAAAACATAAAGCTACACTTTAACACGAGTGGGTGGCATGAAGAACAACATTAATTAGTGAACCATGATATGTACCTTATTTTCTTCTTTGCTTCTGGAAGGATTCCACATACAGGAGCTGAAGGTGGCTGTGGGCAAATGTTGAGGGAGGTCTGTGGCTTGTATCAGAGCCCTGATGTTTGTGGCATGTGGCCCCAGGAAGCAGAGTTACATTGTTAGCTTATGGCTGTGGAGGATGTCACTGTCACTCTGTCAGCCCTTATCTTGCATCTCTCTGCAAACGGATGGCAGAAGTCCTGGTGGGCCTGAAGTGGCATGGGAATGTCAGGGTCATGGCATGTGGCCTGTAATAGACACCTGCTAAAAAAGAAAAGCCCATATTCTGTCCTCAATAGATTAAAAAGAGCAGGCTGGAGCCTTTGATGGCTTTGGCATCCACAAGTGAAGAATAAGTAGCTATAAATGGATTTTATATGCAAGTAATTGGTTAATGAACAATTGAACAATGAAGATCCAAAGAAAATATTCAGCAATTACAATTTTATTTTGAAGAAGAATTCGATTATCAGCATTACATACATGATCGCACCGAAGCCTCTTTGACATCTCAGGTAAAGATTGATAGTTGGACACGATGGCAGATTACAGCAGCACACGGGCTGTTGCAGAGCCTGAAGTCTGTAATGCTTTCAGCTAAACCGGATGAGCTTATGAGATTTTCAGCACCCACTCCACAACTGGCCTCAATGAAAGCATTAAAAGAGGAGCCTTTATTGTAATTATTATTATTTTACCACATGCCTAGCCGAAATACTCAGAGGTAGTGTCTAATGTCATTGTTCCTGGGGATAAGGAGGGCAGGAGAGTCTCACACTCGGGAGGTTGGCAGCTGTCTTCATGGAATCCGGATAAAAATAGTTTAGTCCAAACCAAACACCCACCCATCCCTCCCCCAGCCCCACCCTCATTCTCTGTTGTCTCCCAGCCCAACCCCCCATTCAGTGATGATTAGCAGCTCCTGAGCACACATTCATCATTGCTGCATGAGCCTCGGTGTGTGCTCGTTCGAGTCTTTAGGCATATCTATGAACAGAGTGCTATTTCTACAGTAAATGCTGCTGATTTCGGTCACTAAAGTGGCCCAAGTTGTGCATATTTTAGCAGCTAGCCTGTTTTGAGTCCCTGTTTTGCAAGGTTAGGGTTAACCAAGGCTTTTGTGAGCAGCATCTCTACTGAAGGAGAATGCACAATATGCCCTAATGGGTAATTGTGTTTCTGCAGATAATCCAATAATCCACTAACAGACAACAGAGACCTCACTTCCTATTTCTCCTGCCTTCTGCATGCTTGCTGACTTTGTGGTGCACAATGGATTTATTCCTTAACTATGCTTTTGTGAAATTGTGAAATATTTCAGTATTTAACAGAGAAACAATCAAAAACAGACCACTTGGACCATATTCATTATGTTATGTTAAAGGGGATCTGTCTGTAACGGCTGTCATCAACGGTTCGCAGTGTTGGTGTGTTAGTCTGACATTTTGTTCCACACTAAAATATCTTGACAGCTATCCAATGAACAGCCGTGAAGTAGGGCACAGATATCGATAGTACTTTGAAGGGATTCAATCCATTCCAATCTCTGTGGTGATTCCTTGGTATTTTCTCCTGTGCCAGCAGTGACATAAACATTTTCATCCATAGATCAGTGCCAAATTTTTTACAGACATTTAGGATTTCAAGATAAATCAATTCAAGTGAAATCTCATAATAATTATTGGATATTTTTTAAAAAAAAATGCATTTTAGGCATGTAGACATGGTCAAGGGTAGTGTGCCTAAGTTCAAACTGCATCAGAAAGGTTGAAGAAAAGTGATTAAAGTCACTTTGAATGTGACTTGAAATGATTGGTGCCACAGGTCTGACTACTTTAGAAGTTGTGTGTGTGAAAATGACAGTAGAGTAGCAATCTGCAGGGTTTACAGACTGGTTTTAAAAAGAGGAAACATCCAAAAACCAACAACATTGCATAAAACTGCCTTACTGATGCCAGAGATCAGAAAAGAATGCCCAGACTGCTTTCTGCTGGAACATTCAGATGGTCAGTTCAGAATTTGGTGTAAACAACATGAAACATTAGTACCAGTTCATCATTATTTAAGTGCTTCAGCCTATGTGAGTAATGCTGCTGACCATGCCCATTCTTTTACAGACACAGTGTGCCTATCTTCTGATGGCTGCTTTAAGCACAAAGCTCAAATCATTTCAAAGTAGCTTTGTGTAGATGGTAAGTTCGCTGTACTCACATGGTCTCGACAATAACCAGATCTCAATCCAACAGAGCACCTTTGGGATGTGGTGAATCGGTTAGATTCGGATCATGGATATTTACCTGACAAATCGGCATTATGTTATCGCGCCAGTATGGATCCAAATCCCAAGAAATGTTCCCAGCACCTTGTTTAATCTGTGCCTTAAAGAATTGAGGCAGATATAAAGGCAAAAAGGAGCCCAACCCAATAATAGGAAGATGTAGTCTGTGTAGGGGTGTGGGTTCTGAAACTCTGCACATCTCTCTTGTATACTCAGGAACTGCTATCTTGTACTCCAGGGTTTACTATTTGTATTAATAGATTGGATCTTTTTTTTTTGTGTGTACACCCACTGGTACTCTTATACTTATGAGGTGGGAGTGTATGTTCCATATTGTCTTATGTTCTTCAAAAAGAAAACGGCATATTGTTCAATTTGTCTTTTGTAAAAGTGGATGCAGAAAATTTAATAAAAATATCTAGGGGGAAAAAATAATGGTAAATGGCCTGTATTTGTATAGCGCCTTTCTAGTCCCTAAGGACCCCAAAGCGCTTTACACATCCAGTCATCCACCCATTCACGCACACATTCACACACTGGTGATGGCAAGCTACAGCGTAGCCACAGCCACCCTGGGGCGCACTGACAGAGGCGCCTAATAGGAAGATGTACCTAAAGAAATGGCCTGTGATTCTATAAAACCTTAAACTTTGTAAGTTATTAGTTAAAAATGTCACATCCTGATGCCTTAGTTTGTGACTAAATGTCTGAAGATGATACAATTATATTTGTACATGTAACAATTTTTCATTTAAATCTTGAAGCCAGACGGACTCAACAGGGCATGGTTACTGTTACTGACAAGGGACTTTGTAAAACCAAAATAAAGACTTTTTCTGAAATCAAATCAACCTGTGACTAAAAACTGAAGAAAAGACAGCATTCTGTCAGAGATGCCTAAAGCCAGAATTCTCCCGCTAGCGAAATAAGTTGGTGAATATAAGCACTAAAACTTGTTGAAAAGTGCAAACTCTCAAAGCTGCCAGCGTGACTGCAGGCTCTTGGTCTTGTTTAGCAGCTTTTTCTGCTTATAGCTGAAAGTTGTCTCATTCTTTACCTAAATAAGTCTTGCAGTCATTGATGTAGACTGCAAGAATGATTAAGCGTTTTTTAAAAGCATCTCACTGGTACAAGCTCAGCTTTTACTTCATACTCTGATTATATTAGATATTTTCATTTTTTCTTGAATGTTGTCACAGTTAAATAGTTTGAAGCGTCGGTGTGTGGAGCCAACTTGTACACCACTGAACACTCTACTCTTTGTTTCACTCTCATCACCTCCAGATGTTTTTGTCCTGCAGTTGCGGCAGAAAGCAATGGTCGCTTTATGCCTATTTCTTAAATGCTAACAACCGCTTTGAGCACTGTAGCAGCACACCGATGAACAGAATGAGTGATAAACAATATCTGAGCCCCCCCCAACCTCTCAGGGTTTATCTCTTTTTGTTTTTATTACTTCCCTACTTCAGCTCCAAATCTCCTCTCCTTTTTCCCCTTCTCTGTCTTTAACTCATTCGCAGGGATTATGCAAGGCCTGTGTCATCGCTTAATCGCTTATCTTGATACTTCAAAGGATTTTTTTTCCTTTTTTTTTTTTTAAATTCTCCAAGTTTTAAATTCATGCAAATTTCACTTAGTCTTCCAAGTACATGCAAAGTATTCAGGCCAGCGCCTTAGCCGAAAAGATCAGTAACATGTGAAACCACAATTTCAACACTTACACTGCATGTGAGTGGATTAGTGAGGAAAGGCTTTAAGCTCTTACCTAATAGACATGATCGTGGATGTCCAGTGTTGCATCAGATGTTAGAGGCACTCAGGTTTTTCAGAAAGGCCAAAAGGCTTGTAACGGCTACTTATGACAGCTGCTGCAGTGAAGCTTTCTGGTGTTCCCCTTTAAACATCATTTTGACCTCACCGGTTTTAATATATGAATGTTTTAGAAATATCCACCAAAAAGTATTCTTTATCTTTGGGTCTTTCTCACCGTCTTTTTAAAAATCCTAAATAGAATCTTAAGATATTTTGAGGAGCCACTGCAAGTGATCTGGTGTTACAGGAATTTTTATTTGGAGCATATGTATGGATCTATCAAAATATGACCTTCTCAACACCTTTATTGAAGTGTATCACATGAAGACAGGAGATTTTTTTTTTTGGTGAACTGGATCCTCATCAGATCAGCAGACATTACAAATTCATCTTCGAAGAGTCTAGAGTTCACCATTTCACAGTCAGAGATCCAAAAAAAGAAACCTGAAGACCATTGTTACTCTCCCTGGGCACCCAAAATTACTTCAGATTACTCCAAGACAAGAATGTCAATCACTTTACATCTTTACTTTTACACATTTACTTTTATGTGAAAAGCTTAACTACACATTTAGTCGGTGAGAGATCTTCATCTAAGAGCAATTTCAGCAGCATGTCTCCGTTTTTCTACATGATAAAGATGAAAGAAACCTGTCAGCATGACTCTTTGGGCTTAAATTGTAAGACATAAATGTGTAAAATTATCGAAATCAATAATTTAATGACTTTAGTTTATTATGAATGGACATGGGGGAGGTCCTTATCAGCAGGAAAAGCTGTAAAACCTGTGAAGATACAGTTAAAAGTCAAAAAATGATGTCTTCCTTCCCCTTTTGTCTAAAGCCACCCAATAACCAAGATTAGTCTTTGCCGGGCCAATACCGGCTCATGGATCTTATGTTTGGCACACCCACTTCAAGAGGAAGGTGTGTAGATCTCAAAGAAAACCAGGGTTAATTGTAAAAAGCTGTAGGCCTCTCTTAAAACACCAAATGTATGTTTTGATGGGGCAATCATAAAGAGAACACTAAACGTCTGTCATTCATACAAAGCAGAAGGCTGTTGGGGAATCGTTCTTGAGCAAATGAGACCAAAACAGAGCTTTTTGGTTTCATCAGAACTTTATACTTGAGGAAATAATATTCCCTCTAATGTATAAGGTGTTGTGTTGTTCCAGCCGGTGTAATAATGGTATTACGTAATTCTGAATTATTGCCAGCAAATACTAAACAAAGGTCACAACATTATTCTGTGACCTGAACTTTAAAAGAGAGGACACACAAGTCATTCAAAATCGGCTCTAAAAAAGATTGAATGTTGTGTAAAATACACATAAAAACAGAATGCAGTGATTTGCAGATCTTATAAACCCATATTTTAGTCACAATAAAACTCTCTCAGGCAAGCTTTCTTGTAATTTCTTTAAAAAGTCTTCAGGAATAGTGTTCCAGGCTTCTTGAATTATATTCAAAGCTCTTGTTTGGATGTCTTTTTTTTTTTTTTTGGGTCTGTTTTCTGTCTCAAGGATCTCACACAGCCTCAATAATGTTGATGTCTGGGCTCTGGGGAGACCAGTCAATGTCTAATAGTGCTCCACCGTGTGTTTTTCAATCTAGCTTTGCTGTTACTGCATTGACGGTGTGTTTAGGATCATTGCCATGTCTGACTGTCAGTGGTGCTATGAAAATTATGCCGTTGTTTTCCACATGGTCCTGCATGGTGGATGTGTACACTTTTCACATAATTTGTTCAGTTTTGACAATAGTCCACTGGCCTAAAATTCAACCCCAAACAACACACGTTTCGCTGACAGTTTAAACCAGAAGTCATATATTTGGATTCATTGCTCCATATGATCTGTTGCCACCGATTTTCATTCCAGTTCTTGTGTGAGTTGGGATTCCTCTGCCCTTAGGATGGCTTTTTGACAGCCCCCTTTACACTGCTGATGAGGCTTCATTGTAGATGGCTCAACTGAAGAGCCAGATGCATCTCTCAAGTCCTGTGTTGGGTCTTTGCCTGTCCAAATGTGTTATATTTGTCATGTTTCACAGATTTAACTGAAGAGTGGGACCAAATCATGTGTTTTTGCAACAGACTGCTAGTAACAAAATGCCTAAAGATAAAATTTAAAATTGTCTTTGCTATCCAATGTGCAAAGAAAAACTTTGAAAGCCCTATTCACCTTTTGTATTTCTCACAATGTTATCAAGATTCACTTTTGTAAGTACTATAATAAACTGTACAAGTCCTATATATATCATTATATAAATTATTGTTTCTGTTATTAAATAATGCATTATTAATTTACTGGTTATAAATGAGCAATCTTGTAATAAGACCTCTCCAGACTGAGAGTCATTCCTCTGAGCGGTTCAATCATTTATCTTGTGGCGCATTGTCTATTTATTAACTGCAAATGTTAAATTAATTTAAAAATGAACGTTTCATCAGTTGAATTTTTCATTAGAACATTTTAATTGAATTACTACAAGGTAGAAAAAAGCCCAGGCCACTCACAATGTGCTGTCGTTTATAGTTGTTTATATCGCCTGCCTACTAGATTTCCAGGCCTTCTGTTGGGGTCAATGAAGTTGTGCTACCGTGAGGAGAAAAATTATGACATCAAAGCGGAGCGAGTCTCGTGTTTTATTAATGTGAGCTTAAGGTTTTAATATTAACAGAAGTTAATGATGGACATGTCTGATGAGGTGTTTAGTAGTTAAACTCGTAATTGCACAAAGGATCTGGATGCATTCCCTGCTCGAGTTTACTACAACATGTTGGAGGTGTGGGGTCTGTCACATGCTGTAATTACACAGTAGACAGTTAAAGCTTGCCCTGTACTTATGTATCCCTGCCCGGTTTATTTTATGCGATGTTCAGCACTCAAACAGCATCATTAATTTAAATGGAAAATTCCACAATGGTGTATGCTAAGCAGTAATTGTCCTCATTCAAGGCTCAGCTGGACAGCCCAGATGTACATGTTTATAAATCAATCTCTTACATAATTGTAGGGGTTGCAGTGTGTTTGTCAGGGCTAAAGCTTAGCAGTGATTTATCTGCTTTGTTGCAGCATTTTGTTTTTAAATAGATGTTACGTAATATTTTCTGGATGGTTCCTGCAGGCACTGAAAAGTCTTAAAAAGTACTAGATTAAGCTTCCTCCATAAGGGTCAGCTATATGCTTTGATGTTGCTAGTAGCAGCTAGCAGACCCCGCATCTTAAAGTGATAGATTAAAAATGAGCCAGTATTAATTGATGCTCACAAACACAGCTTAGGTTTCTTGGCATATCTGGGTCCTTGTTGTGTCTCAGCTCCTCACCCTGGAGCTTTTTTAAATATTAGGTATATCTCCAACCGTTGCCCTTTGTTGTGTAAAGCCGTAGCTTTGTGGAAAAAAATCCCAAGTAACATATAACATTTGTTTTTATTTGCATTTTTCTTTTATTATATATTAAATCTGTAGTTGTTTTTCCTTAGATAAAGCCTAATCATACTGGAATCAGGCTTTTTTTTTTTTTTTTTTAATCGTAAAAGATAACGGGTTGTTAAACCCACTGTCCAACAAATAACAGTCCCACAGTTAAAAATGCTGTGGGAAATCTTTCATGTCCCCAGTACTTGAAAACCATTTCTACATCCCATTCACAGATTACACTAGGTTGTAGCTCAGGCCGTCCACTAATTGAAAGGTAGGTTGATCAATTCCTGGCTGCTCCAGTGCCTTTTGGGCAAGATACCGAACCCAAAGTTGCTCTTTGATGTTTTTATCTGTTTTTGAATGTTAAATAGAAAGCACTTAGGGGTAGGAAAATAATTACTTTGTGTGAATAGGACATGTTTGAATGTTCCAATAGAGTAGAAAAGCATTTAGTGTGTCCAAAACAAGAGAATCAACATGGTGCAGTTGTTATAAATATGTACACCAAGCTAGGACTGGCTTTGATCCTCTTTTGCCTTCAGAACAGCTATAATTCTTTGTGCCACAGATTTAACAAGGTGCTGGAAACATTTGTCAAAAACTTTGGTCCATATTAACACGACAGCATCACACAGTCGCTGTATATCAATGATGTGAATCTTTCATTTCACCTCATCCCAGAGTTGCTCTATTTGTTTGAGATCTGGTGGCTGTGGTGATGATGCTCTTCTGCATACCTTGGTTTTAATAAAGCATTATTTGAGTTATTGTTACCTTTCTATCAGCTCAAAGCAGTCTGGCCTTTCTGCTCTGACCTCTGGCATCAACAAGGCATTTTCATCGAGGGTACTTCCATCTGTTTGTGCAGGGACGTCTCACTAAATCAGCAGTTTCGGAAATACTCAGATCAGCCCATCTGGCAACGACAACCATGCCACATTCAGAATTGTGTTAATCACCTTTCTTCTCCATTCTGATAGTCAGTTTGAAAATCGTCAGGTCGACTTGACAATCTCTCCATACTTAAACGCTGGCATCGTTGGACTATTAATAGAAATGTCTGGTTCCAAAGATAAAGCGATGCAGTGATTATTTGGTATTACAAATAGGGACAGGTGGATACTGCAGCACCCTCACAGAGACTCTGAGCCGTGTAAATATAGCTGTGAATGTGCAGTTCAGGAATGCGACCGGGATAGCATTGACAGTCGAGGCTCAAACTGACTCAAGTAACTGAACACACACAGAGGCTGCTGGACAAAACCCTTTTTTTACACATGGCCTTCCACGCGTCACGCTGGCGTTTCTTTAGTCTCCCGAGACCGCGTGTAAGATTTTGTTTCGTAAATGGACATATTTTGTTATTTTAAAGCTGGACAGTCAGTGTCCTCCATTGCAGAGGTGGTTCTGAGATATGGGGTCACAAGCGATGAACAGAAAATTAAAAGAACCCAACAAAGGGCTGTGAGACGTCCTGTGAGACTCGTGGCGGAGGTGAGAAGGGGAAAAATCCATACTGTTCAGCATATGTGTCCTCTTGCATACAAATTACTTGACTAAACTCGCACATTTTGTGCTCATGGGATAGAAAAATAATTCCAAATCCAATGAGAGTTTTGAATGTCAGAATTTAAGTTGATTATTTCTCTGTTAACTGTTTCATATGCTTTGAAGATGAAATCCTTTGGAATTTGGGTTATGTCTATGCATATATACCTCCAGTTTGGATGACCGAACACATAAATGAGTAAGGGTGAAGACAAAATTTGTCTTATTGACACAAAAAAGAAAGAAAGAAACCAGTAGTAACTTTTACCTGCATAGCCGACGCAGCTAAAAGCCCCACTTGTAAGAGCACTTGTGTGAACTCTGTTGTTGCACTGCATAACACTCATTCTGTCCTTGGGCATTATAGTTTATTCCAAGTCAATCCCTCATGCTGCAAAATCCTCAAATGCACCAAATATGCATTAATAAGCAACCAAAAGTAGTCCCTAACCAGTGCACTTGTTATTTAAATAGGAGAAAAACATCTTTTAAAAAAAAAAAAAAAAAAAAAAAAAAGGTTCCTAGCTGTTCTTACTTATGCAAATGCAACTATTTGACAGTGACCCATTTTTAAAGATTTGTGTGACGCAGACAGGAGAAAAGTAAAAAAAAAAATAATTAAGAGATGGCATTGACTGACAAAACGAAAAACACAGATATTCCCAGCTTAATATTTTATAACTGAAAATATTTAAAAAAGTGGGTTTATTCATTCATTTTGTATCTCAGATTTCTAAATCCGTGTGCAGCTGTGGTCTCCAAATCCAAACAGTCTGCATCGGAGAGCTTTTGATCTGCAACGGGAATAAGTACGATGTATACCCCTGCACACCATTCATGTGAAAATATTCCTATCGTTTTATGCAGTTTTGGAGTCTGTCCAAAATTCTTTTTGAGCTAATATTGTGCATACAAAAAGTTAGAAATATGCACACGGATTTTTCTATAGGATACATAGAGCAATTTGTAGAAAGAGCTCTCAACTCTGCAGGCTGAGAACAAAGTCCCCTGCTAGAGGTTAAAAAAAAAGAAAAAGCATGAGCTTCATGCACTAAACAACAGTAAAATACAAAATGGCTTGAGAGAATTTAGTACACACTCAATTATTTACAATGCAGTTTGTGATTTGTAAAATTCAGCATATTAATATGGATGATTCTGTGTACACAAAGTATTTTTGAGGTAGTTAAGAACATTTTCGACCCACTTTTTCCTCTAAATACCAGTATACGTGTGGAAAAAGGCGTACACTGGTTTTTGTGTGTATTTGTGTCTGTCTATACATCTGGCCCCAGGTGTTCAGTAGTTTCAGCTCTACTGACTGCAAAGAATCTACAGAAAACATTTGTGTTTGCTGCTTTCTTAAATCAAATTCAAGTGAAAATGATATACTGTCTGAGCACACGAGCCCATGCCATATTTAACTGCATTCTTGGACTTTATCTTTTTAAATCCCTTCTTGTCCTTTTTTTAATGTCCCATATTTACTTTGCTTTACTGCCATCAGCAAAATGTGACATAATTGCATACATAAAGTAGTAATATCCATACCAGTGTTACAAGAATCTACTGTGTGCTCAGCTGTGTATGTGAAGCCTGGGGGATTTGTGCGTATGCATGCAGGCTTTCAAGATTTTTTCAGTTCAGCTCTTAAATTCTGCCGTTCTTTGTTCTGATTCAGAGCATGCTTGGTCCTTTTGATTTGTACACATTGAAAGAAAACACCATCCATCATAGAGAAAAACACCCCGAAGTGACACACATGGATGAATGTATGCTGGGCAGCAAGGAACCATCAGCTCAGTGGTCTACTAATAAAATCAATACATTTATCAGTGGAAATAATCAGCTTCTTTTTTCTTTCATGGTAAAAAGTACAAGAAACTACACCCTCTTTGAAGTGAAGGTTTTTACATGTGAGGACTGAATACGAATAATACAAGCAGGTCTTATGATTATGGAAATGCAACCTGAGATGAACTACAAAACTTATGTCATTACTTATTTAACAAAAAATAAATAAATCCTGCAGAAGCATTGCGTTACTTTCATAGTAGGGGCCAGGTGCTGCAAATCAAATGCACTTGATTAACTGAACCAGTGTATGCATCTCTATAAAAGCAGAATTTTGGGGACTTTGGAGTATTCAGGAGTGTGTTAACACAATACCAAGGAGGAAAAACATCAGCAATGATCTTGAAGAAATAGTTGTTGGTGCCCATCAATCTTGGAAGGGTTATAAGACCATTTCCAAACAGTTCGACGTCCATCATTCTATAGTGAGGAAGATTATTCACAAGTGGAAAATATTCAAGACACCAAATTTCCCAAGAGATGCAGGCCTCAGTTAGCATCTTAAATGCCGAAGTTCATGACAGCACAATTAGAAAAAGACTGAATACATTTTTTTATTTTTTTTGTTTGGAAGGGTTGCCAGGAAATGATTCGTTCCTCCAAAACAAACCCAGCTTACAGCTTATGTTTGCAAAGTTGCATCAAATAAGCTACAAGACTTCTGGAACATTGTTCTCTGAACAAGTGAGGCCAACGTGGAAATGTCTGGTCTTAATCCACAGCACCACGTTTGACACGAAAACAAACCCAGCATATCAGCGCAAAAAATCAGCGCTATAAAGCACGGTAGTGGAGCGGTGATGATTTGGGCACCTTGCAGTCACTGAGTTGACCATAAACTCCGTAAACCAAAGTATTCTAGAGTCAAATGTGAGGCCGTCTGTCTGGCAGCTAAAGCTTGGCAAAATTACAGCAGAACAAGAATCCCGAACTGCAAAACTATAACAGGGTGGCTTAAAAAAGTCCAGATCTCAACCTGATTGAAATGTTTAAGAAATTTGTATAAAGTGACATTGTGTGATGTGTGTTGTTCATCTCAGGTTGTATTTACCTTATCGTAAGACCCGGTAAGGACCAGATAATCCTTTATTAATTCCTTATATATCAAACTTTAAGGTGTCCTTTCTTTTTACCGTGACTATATAGGATTCCTCACTGAATTAAAATGTATATAAAGGTTATAATTTGCAAATAAGTTTTCAACATCTGCAGGTAACGAATAGCACGTGTAAATAAAAAAAAAAAAAAGCCAGACTGTGCATAATATTTCTACATTTTATTAGGCATGAAAAAGACCTCTTTATATTATATATATATATATATATATATTATTTTTTTTTCTGAGGGTTTGTTTCCCCAGTGGTGTGCATTTTCACAGTTTTAAATATTTTACCAGAACTGACCCATTTTCAAGTATTGGTGTAAAAGTCAAAGCGGAACAGAAAAAAATTCCCAAAAAACACATTCGGTCTGAACTGTTTCAGTGCTGTATTTCCAGAAAACAAACCAAAAAGAAAGGAGGGACACACTTAGTTGCTCCTATTATCTTTTGGGCTACATTTAAAACGACGACTTATAATCGCTGACACGAGAAGAACAACACAATGGAGCAGCACCTGTGGAATACTAACTTTCGTGGGGTATGGCCAAAAGTAAAAGCCGGAAAATGAAGGCAGGTGGTCCTGAGTGTGAACTCAATTTGAATTTAGTTCACTAGATAACTAAATAAGGAAATGAAACAAAGCTAGCAGTCCTCACAGGAACTGTAAAGGGTGTGGGTTTAGGAGAGGAAACACTCACTTGGCACAGCCCTACTAGCATGGCTATATTCATAATGTTTCTCTGGAAATACAAACGTGCATTCAATAAAAAAACAACCAAAGAAACAGGTCTGTCACTAAGTGCCAAGAGCTTTTTGAGTTCACATGTCTCTAAAAACAATGCATAGTTTTGGCTTTGTCCAATTTTGGCACCTTTGTTTTTTCACCATTTGTACAGCAAAAGTACAACATTGTGGTTTTGTTTTTCTGTGGCTTAGTCAAGGAAGCACATACAGCATTTTTGAAGTTTCCGCACAAACACAAAACACATATTTTCATCTACACAAAGCTCAAAAGATTGAGACACACACAGAAGACAATTGGTGCCCTTTGCCTTCAGTATTACATAAATGCTGTTGATAGCTGGCAGGCACCCACTTGGTGAGCCCGGCACTTTAATTCTCTCGGATCTTAATACAATACAATTACAATACAATGTTTACATGCTGCGAAGCATTTCCTGTTTTCTAGTAAACAGGCATGCTGCTGAATATGGCTTGTGCATGTGTTCAGACGGTCCACGTGCCGGGCTGATAAATGAGTTCTCACTGCCAATGTGACACTGCTGTGACAAACAGATACCAAGCCAGGCTGGTCCCTTCGCCTCGGGGTGATTTTGTGTGTTTGTGAGGGCAAGCTCATTTTATGACAAGGACACAACCTTCCCTGCCCTCTGCTTATGTGTGTGAGTGAGATGGGTGAATAGAGAGAGAAAGACAGAGGGAGGGTCATGACTCAACAACAGCATAAGCACATGAGTGAAACTCCTCATCTTGCCTAAATCCTCCCAGCGGGAATTAAAGCACACGCACACACTGAAAGTCAGTGACTGTATGTCAGCACTTAATTACATTACACGTGGTCCAACTTGAGTACGATCCACGGTGTCCACCGGTCATCGTGTGGCTTTCCGCGGAGCAGACGGGCCGCTTATTGCCCGAGAGAGGTCGGTGGGTTCGCAGCATGAGCGGCATCACCTTCACTACAAGCCACAAGCTGAAGCAACTTGACATCCAAGTTCTCTGAAAATGCCAGCGTTATTTTTAAGCTGCTGCAAAGATCTAAGTTGGATCCGGTTTGTTGTCACCTTCACATTCAGCATCCCCCGCTCCCCACCCCTCCACCCAGCCGCCTGCTCTTTGCTCGAGGTAAATGCAGATGTTACCCGTCACCTTAATTAAACTCCGCTCCTATGTGGAACAGATCGTGATTATTTACGTTTGTGTGTGCCTGCTTTCTCAGTGAAAGTGGCTGATGTAGGGCCACTGAAGGACCGGACCAAGTCTGGTGGTATACAGCGTATGATGCTTGGACTCTGAAACAGCAGCCCAGTGACCTTTGTGAAATGCACGAGCAGATCGGACTTGAATGCAGATGATTTCTTTAGTTGGCGCTGAACACACACAGACTGGGGAGGGGCGGAAGGAAATTGCAAGATGCTTCGAACAACTGGAAGTGAAAAACTGTCTACACAACCCATAGTATATTTGGGATACCATTGATAAGTAAATGACCCCCGTCCCCCTCCTCCCTTATTGCCAAATTTAGCCTGTTTCTTCACGCTTTTGCAAGCAGTTTCAGTTCACCACCAAAGCCCTTCTCAAAGATTAGCACTTAAATACGCATCGTTTCATCGACCGTCGATCTTTAGCTGACCAGAGCCACTTCCTTATGTGTGTGTGTGGGGTGGGGGGGGGGTCATGCACCAGCGGTGAAATAAAAAAAACACGGGCCTCACATTTCTGCAGCGAGAGCTAAGGAGAAGTGGGTCATCTATATGCCAACTGAGCATCAAACTCGCATGCCTCCTGCTCTGCTTTTGCAGCCTCGACAGCAGATGAAAAAAATAAATAAAAGAGGCAGAGAGGAAGTGAACAAGTGAGCGAGTGGGAGGAGGAGCACTGGTGGTAGATAAAGATTAAAAGTGATTGAGGGTGAGGGACGGGGGGGGAACAAACAGAAAAATCTGTTAACATAGAAGACAAATGATTGGATTAAATTAGATGGAAGGCAAATTAATGGCAGCAGCAATAAAAAAGCGATGACAAAAAGATTGCAGGAGAAAAAAAAATAAAAGACAGACTGCTGTTTTCATTGACCACTTATTAAAAAATATTTCCCTTCTTATTTATAACAGATATTCATTGCTCAATGTGAGCAATGTGATAAGGAGGAGGCGAGACAGGATGGGTGGAAAAAAAAGATTCGAGAAGGGAAGGAAGTAACAAGGGGCCCTGAGATGGCGTAATATCGAGAACTTGTTTTCTGCTACTTTGCTAAAACAGTAAAGGTTTGAGTAAAATAAGTGAAATGAGGTCAGCTGTGGAGTTTTTTTATGCTCAAGTTGTTATTGCATGTTTTTGTGTTTATGTGTGTATGTGTGTGTGCTGAGGGCTGCTGATGAGACTCGCCTCTCTGTATGTCCATCTGCACAGAGCATCTCCTCTCTTGCATAAAGCACTTGAAACACAGCTCAGCTAGTTAGCTCAGTTGTGTAACTGTGTCTGTGCATAATGCCAGTTGCGTTTGTTAAGACAATAGATTCAGCAGGTAAATGAAACCCAGAAGCCAAGATCTGAAACCCGAGTTTTTCCTCAGTGCTGTGGTTCCTGTCCTAAACCCACACGTGCCAGCGCCAACAGTCTGGAAGGAACGGGCATGAGTTTACCACATACTGCATTGCACTTTGTTTAAGGCTAAGAAGTTCGCAGTGGAAAGCAATGTAATGTAAGGCAGCATGGATTGAATGTCTTGCATGTTTTTTTTTCTTTAAAAAGTACTAAAATCTAGTATGTCACCCAATGCAATGTGTCATGTAGAGAACACAGCAATAACATCAAATACAATTAAATACGCTTCTCTTCCAGTCCATAAATTAAAAAAACAAAACAAAACACAACTGATGCTTGTTCATGACCTTTGTGCATATCCACCTGCACACGCACGGTCATAGAAAAACTTCAATCTTCCCTGGACTCCCAAACCCTACGTCGGTTGGCTCAAACAATTATACAGTACTGTAAAAAAACAAAACAAATGCTCTCTTTCGTTTTTGCAGTTTAGCACAGTGAGACCCGACCAAGTCTGAAGGTAGAATAGTTGCATTTTCTCCGGTTTCAAAAGTGCCTTTAGAAAGTGTTCAAGCCCGTAGCTCAAAGCAACAGCTGGTCTTTTGTTTTGTTTTCTGAGAGCTGGTTTCATTTTCAAACATGAGAGAATATAGAGACAGAAAAAAAGAAGAGTTAAAGCAGTGAGAGCTGGTGAGGAGCAGGAGTAAAAGAAAGAAACTAAAGAAGATGATACTGTTAAGGTATCCAAGGCCAGTCAGTGAAAGTCAGAGGGAAAACAGGTCAGTATTTAGGTGGGATGACCACCACAGGGTCACCAGTCTTTGGCCGCCACATCAGCACCTGGGCGTCGTTGGCATTGGGCTTGACCATGGCGTTGGGGGGGATGGGCTCATTCTTTCCCAGAATCTGTGGCTGTACCTGGGCCACGGGCTCTTTCAGAACGGCCCTTTGACCCAGCGGCTTCTCCGGGTCCACTTTTATGTCAAGCCGCATCCTCCAGCGGATCGTCTGCAGGACCAGCGTCTCTGAGGTGGCCTGATTGATGGCCACGAGCCAAGTCGTGAAGCTCTGGTCACGGAAGATGCTGCTGAGCTGAGGCACATTGCTGTCGCTGACGGGCACTCCCCAAGTCACGCTGGGGTAAAAATTGTCATTCATACTGACTACGAATTTGCTGTCCTTCTTGGTGGGGCCTATGACGGTGCAGGTTTCAGTAGTGTTTCCGTACCATGGGTAGTTGACGCCGTCTGAGTCGCTGATGGCCTGGATCTTGCCGTCACGCAGATCAGGGAGTTCCCAACTTGACCTGGAAGTTGAAAGGAAGCACAGATGAGGATTCACAGACACTGATCCTTTATTTAAAATCATTTGTTTTTGAAGGGAAAACTGGATGTAAGCACATGTAAAATGTTATATAATAATGCTTAACAGGGTATGAAAGACGCAGCACAGTAATCTGACCTTTTATCTTAGGTCATTTGACCCCTTTAAAACACTGATAAAAATGATGAAGAACAGTAAATACATAATAAATGGAACCACAAGTGTGGCCTCCTCAGTTGATAGATTTTTCTGTCTATCTACCAAACGCAGGACAGGAACATTAAATTGGATCAAAGTCTCACAGCTGGATGCTTCCAGCAGTAACGTCCTGCTGAGCTGGAACCCAATACAGTGATGAAATATTTTGACATGCACAGCGGGCGACACCGAACGACTTAAGCGACCCTGCACCTCTGCTCTGTCCACCTATCGATTTTCCGCCCGCAGCAGGAAAAAGATTACCTTTCGTTCAAAGAAACCGAGGCTCAGCAGAACAGAGATAACAGTGCGATCACCAGCCCGCATGACTTACTAGCCTGCTACGCCTGGCCTCACATTGTGATTTATGAATTCACCCAGGGGGGTTGGTGAGATTAGCATGTCAGGCATGCTAATAGCAGGCCCGTGTGTGTCTGTGTTCAAATGTGCATTTCTGTTCTGAAGGATCCCTTCATCCTCTAATACGATGCCTCCCAAACATTTTGTAGCAACTCTCCATTTTGTCATGAACTCACACATTTCCTCAATTCAAATTATTTGACACCTTCTGTTGAAAATTCTTCCAATTCATCATTTATGACTGTATGATTTACGGTAAACCTCAAGCGTGTGTTTCATTGAGTGTAAAAAGAGCACATGTATCGGAGGAGGATTAACCTAGAGCTGCGGGCTCATCTACACGCTGAGGAACTTTGATCACGCCTGGGGAAAGCACTGCAGAGATAGGGCTTACTTCCTGTTTGCGCCTTCACTGCCTGCTTTGTCACAAGCAAATGGCCTCCCATAGGTCGTGTTTGTGACACAACCGCAGACACGCTAAAATGATTCACCCACTCTTTTTTTCTTCATTCTTTTTTAAAGAGCTGCTAGGCCATTTTTTACACCGTGACTTGTGAGCATGTCAGTTTCTGTATAATGTTACGTGTGCAAGACCATAGATACAAATATCTAAATTATCATCTATATTTGGAAAGCAGAAAAGTTTTAACATGTAACTCTCAGAGTTAGCGTGAATAAAGACAGACTCTGTTTCCCAGACATAGATTGAGATGAGTGTTAGACTAAAAACTTTGTTTCAAAGGAGAAGCTCGCTGGATTTAAAAGTTCAGTCTAGCCTTAGGCCTAATCCATGTCTGAGAAAATGGCTAAAAAGGTGTAAATGGCTAAAAGTATTACAGAAATACTGAATGCGTGGTGATAGAAGGGCAATAAAAAAAACTTTTAAAGAAATGGATCAGTGGAAAATTGAACAACTTGACCAAGATACTGAGTTTAACTGTATGACAAATTCTTTGCAAAAACCCCCACTTTGAGTATGCAGTAAATGACATCTGGTTTGTTCACCTCTAATGAATGAATTGTGTGATGTTACAGAAGAGGTAGTTTAGCTCATGTGGCAAGTCTTAAAAAAACCTGTAACCGCTGCTGTCATAAAGATAGTTGTGATTCCCTCTCACCTAGAATTCTTCCGGTCTTAGGCCTCGTACGCTGCATGTCAAAACTGAAAGCTGCCTACCAAAATGTGTTCTAAATAAGAATCTATTTAAAACTGAATTATATATGAAAAGTTGAAGCTTTATGCCGAAAGAAAGGATTTTAAATAAGCTTTTTTGAGGATTTGTCCATGCACTGAAAAGGTCCCATCACAACTGCGAACAAAAGCAAGCAGTGGAATTGCTTATTTCCTGTTTTTGCACCTTTGCTCTCACACTCGTTTGCATGTTGCGGGCAAATAGTTTGGAAAGCAGTCTGTTTGATTTTTTAAAAAGAAAGAAAGAAATGATAAAGACGCCCAGGAAATGCTTCTTTTTTTCCCCCCTCCCCCACGGAGACTGAAGACTAGGAACAAAAGTAAAGACAACAGGGTGTCAGAGCAATCAACAAGATAATTGCATCATCATTGAGCTTCACCATTTTCTGTGAAAATAAATGATCCTCCCATGACTGTTATGTTCTATATGCAACAGGGATACGATTTCTTTCAAGACGTAGCTATAACAAATTGGATTTTTTGTTTTGTTTTCTTTGTGCATGTCTGTTATGTTTTTTTTCTGAATACACACAAACTGTTCAAACTCGATAAACTGCACCTCGTTAAAAGCCCATGGGTGCACGGGGGAGAAGAAGTGATGGATGCAAACAGAATCCCGAGCACATCATCCAAAGCCAGCAGAGAAATCAGCAGCATTACCATCCTCGGCTGTTCTGTCCAATTACAGTACACTGAAGTTTTATTAGCATCAAAGGAGCTACTTAGTATGAGAGTCTCAGCAGCGGTAGCAGACTCATCTCTTACAACCTAAGTGTGCCTTTAAAAATGTACATAAGGAATAGCCTTTTCTTTCATTGTTTGTCTTTGCAGGAAAGAAATGCTTAGCGTTCCTAACACTGGACAATGATTTAAAGTCAATGTTCGAATGCACGAGATTCAAGGATTTTCCCTCTGTAAACACTGCTGTACATCTGGGTGCGCACATTCTAACACCCCTATATACAGCGCAGTGCTATATATACATATACCATATCTGTTACAGTCATGTAGGGTAATTCAAGTCAAGAGTGCATTTACTACACACTCACTAGCCACTTCATCAGGTACACCAGTTCAACTGATCATTAACGCAAATATCTAACAGTTAACCACACAGAACCAACTCGGTGTTTTTAGGTGCGTAGACATGGTCAACACAATCTGCTAAAGTTCAAAGTGAGCAACAGAAAGAGAAAGAAAAGTGATTTAAGTCACGTTGAAGACTTTAAACATGGCATGGTTGTTGGTGCCAGATGGGCTGGTCTGAGGATTTATTGATAATGGTCTGAGAAAAAAAGGAAAAGCAGTGAGCGAACTTGTCTCTTTGATTCCAGAGTTTGGAAGAATAGCCAGACTGCTTTGAGCTGATAGGAAGGCCATAGTAAATGAAATAACCACTTGATACAATCATGGTTTGCAGAAGAGCATCTCTTAATGCACAACAGGTTGAACATGGACAGCAATGGGTTACAGCAGCCAAGACCACACCAGGTGCCATTCCTGTTAACTTCTAACTGAGGCTCACCAAAACTGGACAATAGAAGATTGGAGAAACATTACCTGAACTGATGAGCCTCGATTTCTTTGCAACATTTGGGGGTCAGAATTTGAATCCAATCCAATCCTGAAGGCAAAATGCGTCCAAGCTGGTACTAGCATAGTAGAACTAATGAAATGGTTGTGAGTGTACCCTTATGTGGTTTCTGAGAAGACTAAAAAATGTGGTAAGTGGAATTATATATAGTCATGATATCAGACATTCATTACCAGTAATGTCAAAAAGAAAAATTTACCAAAATGATATTATCTCAACAGCTATGGAAAATTTGAGAAAAGCATAATGCCATCAGTTTGTCTTCAGCGTCATTTATTTTGTTTTCTGTCTGTTTCGGGAACGTGGCGTTGGTGACAGCGAGCTTATAGTGTCTATGTTTTTGTCTTTTTATGGTGGGAGGTGACAAACACAGGGGTACAATACCACCACTTATATGCTGCGTAACCAGATAGTTACAGGTGCTAGTTTAAATGATCATACATGTATTTGCATTTCATCTATGTTTCATTCTCATTACTGGTGTATTGCGAAAAACGTCTTTTTCAAGTTCAGCATTTTTAAATGCATGCATGGTTTTGAATGTGGGTTTTCTTCTAATGGTATTTGTATACCATTATCTAAAAAAAAAAAAAAAAAAAACTTGACAAAAGATGGAAAGTGTAAAATCTAGCCAGATAAAAGGGCCAATAAGATCCAGTGACACTGAGTTTCAGAAAGTAACTGGGCTCTGTCCCTCTCTCTGTGTCATACAGGCCCATACTGGGGTGTGGGGTGTCCGGGACGGGACTCTAATCTTAGTCGTGCAGCACCCAAACATCCTCTGCTGCCGTGTCTACAGATAAAGCACACGGATCAACTTGCGTTTGCCTATCACATGATACAAGACAAACCCTACGTATGTAAACACTCGTTCTGAGAAATAAAGGAAATTAAAGAGCGAGCGAAACCTTTTTATAGTCCCTGGGTGAGATGAGCACAGTTAAAAGCAGCATTTGTTCATGTTTGCTTTATTAATAACGACTGATGAAAAAATAACTCCACTCCAAGGAGGGGGCATCAGAAAGGTTACAGCAACTATTATTTCTCATCAGTGTCCCGCACTCATACACGTGTAAGCTCTTGAAGGCGTTTGCAGCCTGCAAGCATATGCTTAAAGCCCATGTGTTGTGGGGACAGTCAAGCTATTGATTATTAAAACACACTCACGGTTATCTTTTAAGTTCTTTAAAACTGATGCTAATATGTGACGTTCCGCTTGCATGACACACGTGTGCCCTTGCTGAACTGGGAGAACCACATGCAACCGTAGGCTAGTTTCACTACTGTGAAATATTTCCTCTAAGGAGTAATTTTAGCATTATTTGCAATATAAACCAGAAACTGAGATATTCTTACAATTTAAACCATAAATTACACAGGAATTAAGGTTCTGGCTCTGTTGGGTGGCTGGCACTGACTCTTTCTGCTACTCGTCTTTGCCCGTACTTAAAGAACTCAAGCTCATTTGCTTATGTTAAACTGGTTAAACCTTTTACCTAGACGTCCTTTCAGTAACTGTTCCTGGCAGATTTTTTGATCCAATTAAAATCTTCCTACTTGGACTCTTCACATTTTCAAGATGTAAGCACTCCCAAAAAGTTGTTATAACAGTGTCAGCTTTAAGTCTCTTAAATTTTAACTTCTCTTTGTCACATCTGTGAGCTAAATAGTTTCAAGTTCTGAGCTTTTGCTCAGAACTAAGACAAGTAGTGAAGCTGTGATTGTTTCCCTGTGTTGGGGTCGTACATTAGAAAGCACATTTAGTTCCCTAACATTTGTGAGCATTAGATACTTTCTTTGTGGTTTGTCGTGGATTAAATCTAATAGAATGGCAAAATAATCTGAATAGTTTTTGGAAACCAAGCTCACAGTTGGCTAACTGGAATAAAATTCATTTAATTAAAAGTAGAAGAGCCAATATTGACCAAAAGTGTCAATAGCAAAAAATGCCACTTGCAAACTAACTCAAATGACATATTTATTCATCAGCTGGAATGATGTCAAAGGTGATTTTTGTTTTTTTCATATTTGAATCTCATCCACATGCGTTCAACGCGCTGTCATCCCTTACACCTGACCAAGCAACAACAAGACCCGAGGATACTCACATTCCTTTGTCCCCATACGTGTTAAAGAACTCCATGTGGTTGCAGGCTTGGATCCAGCCGATGGTCCACGTCTCCTTAGCTGCTACTGGTGGCACCAGTATTCGGGCGTTCGCTCGAAAGTGCGGCGTCCGGTAGCGCAAGACCACGCCGGATGTCTCGTCGATGCTGGTGGGGTTGGAGTCGATAGTAGCGTTCAGCTCCAGGATGACGATGCTGTCTCGGAAACTCTTGGGCTTACATCTGATACTCTGGATGCAGCCCATTGCATTAAATAGCAACACAGTCCACAAGAACGTCCAGCAGTCTGGAGGAGAGGAAAGACGCATGGAAACAAGCAAACGATCACCACAGTTGGTTCCACATCATGTTTCCCCAACAGAGAGAAGAAAAAATGGTTTACCAGCACAAAGAAAGTATTTATATGAAGCAATGTTTCTCACGAAAAGCCATGCATTCTTTTTCTTTTATCCAAAACTACAAAAGAAGGCAGGCCTAGAAAATCTTCACAACAGAGCGCATGCTTCCCAGTGCGTGAACGCAGCTTCACCAAAACAGGCTCTGGCACCAGAAATGTTCTTATCCAAGCGCAGATGTTTTCATGCTGCCAAAGTTACAAGACACTGCCACACAAAGTTCTGGCCTTTGGGCAAAGTGGGTCCATTTGGAAAGGTTCGTGGCATGTATGAGCTAAATAATTAACACACGCAAAAAAAAAAAACTACTTGTGTTACAGCTTGGCATCAGATTCTCCTTTGCGTGTGCACTCAAAAGATATAACCCTGTGACTGCGTCCAGCTGGTGACGAGAATCCTAATCACAAATATTGGAGGTTTCAAGAGTGGACGCCCACAGTTTAAAATGCCTCTAGTGTAACGCGGAGCAGCCGAAAGTCCGTTTAACAAAAGCGTAAAATGTTCCACCAAACTTAAAATATTGGCTTCAGTTTCTCATAAGGAAAAGTACCATTGAACTCTACATCTGCGAAACAGAGGTTCTGGCAGTACAATTACGAACTGAGGTCTGTTTTTTTTCTTTCCCGTTTTTAAAGCCGACAAAGCAACATGCAAAAAAAAAAAAGAAGAAAGAAAGTCTACCTATAAAACAATTCACTGGAAAGTCTCCACTGAATTGTTTGGGGCGAAATCCTGGAGAAATTCAGCGTAAACGGCGGCTCGCACAGTTCTCCGGTCACAGAGGTAATTCCGTTATCTCCTTCCACAACCGATCCCGTTATTTATTTCTTCGTCCCCTTCTCTCCCTTTTCCTTCCAATTGCAAACAATTTCAGCGTCCCGTTAACAGAGGTAGCATTTCTCCGAGCGCTGACAGTCTGGTCGAGTTTGAGACTGAGCACCGCAACATCCAAAAGGACGGCGCCGGGTCAACTTTTGCGACCATTCCACGGGATCAGGTGTCAAACTGAATAAAAATAAAAATAATAATATATAGATACAAAATATGTATAATGCAGCTCTGATGGGAGAAATTCCAACTGTTACATAGTTCGACCGAGCGGACAGCTGCAGTGCTCCGAGAGATGGGCTGCAGTTCAGCCTAAATTCCTGCACAAGCTGTCATTTCTCCGCGCTCGTCCCATCTCTGCCTCGGCAGGTTCACCCCGACACGCATTGGTCTATCTGAGCTGCCTGGGAAGCAGCTTTTAGTAGTCTTCCTGACGACACTTCCGCTCTGCGAGTGTTGCAAGCATGCTGGGAAATGGAGGCTAAAGGTCCCTCATTTTGAGAAGGTTATAATTATAACTGATAACATATAATTAGTAAGTGATTTTTGAGAGCCTAAAAGAGCCCCCACAGGTAACTTAAGACGCGTGTCCGCTCTCTTTGGGTGGTATTGAAAATTTGGACACAGACAAATGAAATCATCTTTGTGGGGTTTTTGGAAATGTCTTTCCACTGACTAATCAGTGGATCACAGTCAGCTTTAAATAAATTATAAATGATTGATACATTTTGATTTATTTATGTATTTTGCTGTAGTGTGGCAGTAGCAGACAACAAATGGTCTGATCGGTGCGATAAATTCTGTAAAAATGTAGGTTGTGTGCTCATCGCTTTTTCTTTTCTTTTCTTTTCTTTTCTCTTTTTTTTTTAACCATTTCTGAACATTTGAAATTGTTTCCGTGGCCCTCCATAAGCCCTGCCCCCTGTCTTTGTGTGTAATAAAGCCGAATGCGGGGTTTCTGTGAGTCCTGGCGCTGTCTGTTTAAGCACCTTGGAGAACTCCGCTGTCGGCGCTGGAGCGCAGCGCCCAGGCTGAATCGGGAATCGTGCGTAAGCTACGTCAAATCCACCAGGAACAAGCAAACGCTGCACTGCCTGCGCTGCGCTGCCTTGTCTTTTCCCTTTTCTTGTCGATGGTTTGGTGATTGTCAACTTTCCTCTGATTTTGCGCGGATCGCTTTATATACGTGAACGTCCTCTCTGTATATCGGAGAGGATTTAGAGAGATGTGCGCGCTCCCGTGCTCTCCCTTCTTCGCTCGGTAAGATGACAACGCCGTGTCTTTCGTAGTCTCTTTACACAGTGTTTTTCTTTCTTCTTTTGTTTTAAATTTGCACTGAGCTTGATTTCCACCGAAAGCACGCGCAGTGAGGCACCTGTTAGTGGTGTATCGGTGCGTAACGAAATGCTCATGTTGTAATTTTTATCTCCGTGCTTTAGATCGTGTTTCTCTGGATTGGACGGAGCAGATGCTATTCAATACACTCTTCCTCCCCGCATGGCATAAACACCACAGACAACGTGCATTCCAGCGTGTCTAAATATATCTATTAAGGCCACAGGAGGTGGGGGAGGAGTGGTGTAGGCAGGGGAGGGGAGGGGGGTTTATCCTGGGACATTTCACTGTCTTGCACCACTTGCATTATCTTCTGGAGATTGGCAATCGGTTATTATAGCCACAGAAGAAAACTTGGCCCCAACACCCCCAGTATGCCCTCCAGTGTGAGATCCAGGGCGCGGGAGAGAAACAGCGTCCTGGGCAGACCTGAGTTTATGTCCCTCAACCATCAGCCCCTCTGTAGCGGCGGGGGCCCCGCTGAGAGCCGAGGCAGCTCAAGGCGACTGGGTCAAATCAAGCACCAAACAAGTCAGCAGAGTGAAGAACCTACCGACAGAGGCAGCAGGGACAGAAGAGAGTCCACCAAAATGCCAGAGGAAGACTGCATGCAGCTGAACCCTTCCTTCAAAGGAATAGCAATGAACTCCCTGCTTGCCATTGACATCTGCCTGTCCAAGCGCATGGGGGTGTGCGCCTACACGTCGTCCTCCTGGGGAGGCTGCCGCTCCATGGTTGCCCTGTTGGCTCTCACGGGGCATGGCATCACGTGGATCATTGGCACTATCGTGTGTCTCACACGGAGTAATACCCTGGCTGGACAGGAGGTCCTAGTCAACCTGCTGCTGGGTAAATGCCACACCACACTCACCAACCTCTGTCGTTCAGTACCCAAAATGCACCACGCAGCCATACCTGGCACCCACAGTGACACAGTGTCTTTCCCGCTTCTGTCCTTCTCACACTTGAAACCAGCCAGCTGTACCAAAAATGAGCTTGCCAAATGAGTTTCAGTGTATTCGGCCTCCCAGTGCAGGGGTTTATTGACAAACAAGTGTGGGTGACATTTTCTGAAGGCACATTTCACAAGTGTTTATAGACTGTATCACGTCTGCTTAATATTACTTGAACTGCTGCTTTTATAGTAGAGCAATGAGAATCTCAACATTTGATACCTTTTCCCAGTTGTCAATAAGCAACAGAGAGGAAAACCTGCAAATTCAGAAAGAAAAAGACAAAATATCACCTAGTCTCAGTTTTTTTTTTTAGTGAAGTCACAACTGCGTATTGAGGTTCCTATGCAGGCAATGTAACCTTTATCATTTTCTCATCTAGTAAATCTTCAGTTTTCCGGTTTGGATTTAACTTTCAAGTATATTCGAATCAAACTGGTAACATAACACAGTCTAATACTGTCAAAGCAGTCAATCATTCAAGCAAAAGTTGTCTTTTGCAGTACGTTTCTGTCAAATTGTGTCACTCAGTGATTACTCAGAACCTTCTGAACCGTCTTCATTAAAGCATATGAATCTGAAATCTGTGGGCAAGATTCTTTCCACCGCAGGTTTTCTGGTTCCTATTTGTACTCTGTTTGTAGTTCAAGTAGACTAATCAACTGACCAACCACGTCTGAGGTGCCTCTGATTGCATTTAGAGTTAAACTGTATGTGGCAAGAGCAAAAGAGAGACTTCATCTGCTGAAACTCAACCTGGAAACTTCCTTTCTTTGATCTGTCTGCATTCGTTGGAACAGGAAGTAGACAGGAAGTTCTTGTTGTACTGAAAGCCCGGACAAATTGACCCATGCCCCCAAAGGCAAAATCAGCAGTCATACATAACAATAACAACTTTATATGTATAGCACTTTTTAAAACAAACAGTTACAAAGTGCTTCACAATTTGGATAAAAACACTTAAAAAAGTCTAAATGGTTACACATGCAGACACAGAGTCAAGCCCACAGGCTTTCATTCATTCCTACATACACACATGTTAGCAGAACAGAAGGTCACAGATAATGGGCAGAAGATTAAAGATCTGCAGTTAAGAAGGGCAGTAACTGCTGGACTTAGAGGCTTTGAGGGCTGTGATTTAGAGGGCAAAGGAATTAGATGATTAAGTCCGGAAGTAGAAATTTGATGAAAATGAGACAGTTTGCTTCTGTGCCTTTATAATTACAGGGATTGGTAAAAAAACGGCAGCATCAGTGAAATATGAGGTTGGTGAAATACTATAACTGGGTCTTTTTGTTTTAAATTGTGATCTTGGTTTATTAAAACGGATAATGGGCATTATGAACACAGGAGGGCAATCCGGCATACTCAGTTGGTGAGGCCTGAAAGGGGAGCTGCTAAATAAAACACAACTAATCGTTACCAGACTAGCTGCTGTCATGCCAAAAAGTGATTTCGGTTGTTTCTGTGTTTTTCATGTGTAATATTGTTGTTTATAATGGCAAATAGGCTGTAGTGAACAAGATTAAGAAAGAGGTTATATATAAAATTAAAAAACTGCCTGTTTTGAAAGCGTCTTTATGATTCTGACATGACATTATAATCTATCCAGTCCTTTTTGGCTAATTAGAAAATCTTTATGGAACTATTATCTTATATTTGTTGCCCTCTTGGCCGGCTCACTCTTGAAAGGGACATTTCTAACGCCAGTGAAACTTTTAACCCGGATAAATGCAGGATAGAAAAAAGTCACTTTGCCAAAAGCTGATTGCAGC